ATCAATTTTAATTTCTTAGTTGTCCATGACCATATAAGACGTCAACAATGGGAGAGGGGTTGGATGAAAGGTATATGGAGGCTTTTCTTTGCCATCTTCACAACCCTTCTTAATTAGTAAATCTAAAATTATTTTTAGATAAAAAAATTAAAAACAGCTCAGCATATAAAAGTGCTTGATATAAAAACCTGACTACTTAGGCTTAATCCCAGGAACCCACCATGAAGTAAAGAAGACACTAGCCAGGCAGTGGTGGCACACATCTTTAATCCCGGCACTCAGGAGGCAGAGACAGGCAGATTTCTGTTTGAGTTTGAGGTCAGTCTAGTCTACAGAACTAGTTCCAGGACAGCTAGGGCTGTTACACAGAGAAACCTTGTCTCAGAAAAGAAAAAAAGAATACACTAGAACCAACTCCCAAAAGTTGTCTTCTGGCTTCCGCCATGCTTGCACCTGAACGCACATACACACAGGTATAAATCAACAAAATAAAAAGTTCAAAAACAAAAAATGTGGTTCAAAAGAATAACTACTTACGTTCTATCTTTTCTTTCTTGAAGTACTTCATTCCAGCCAATAAAGATCCTCCAATGGCAAAAGTCAACGCTAAAGACTTCCAAGAAACGGGCTACTGGGGCAGAGAGTTCAACCAAATAAACAAGTAAGATGCAAATCTTTAACCATGCTTTACCTATTACAAAGTTTTCAGAGCACGCACACACATACAAACCATTATCACACACGTTGAATGTTTTAGGCTACTTTGGGATACATCCTGAAAGTTTCTGTGAATACAATTATATCTACTATAAAAGCACTCATTTCCAGGGCAAAGTTAGTTACCCAAGCTAATTTAAAAACAAAGTAAGGGTTGAAGATGGAGCTCAATTAATTGGTAAAGTGCTTGCTTGGCAAGTACCAAACCCCTGGGTTCCATGCCAGGCACTACATAAAACCGGGTGTGGTGATACACACCTGTAATCTATCTTAGCACGCTGGGAGGGGAAGGCAGGAGGATCAAGCACAAAGGCATTCTTGGCGAAATATCAAGTTCTACGCCAACCTGAGATATGAGAGACCTGGTCTCAAAAACTGCGCAAAGCCAGCAACTGATTACTGGCATATACTGCCACTGTACTCTTTAAAATCTAAAATGTTTGCTACCTGTGCCTGAGATTTGCCCTGCTCCCCAAGTTCACATTTCTTACTAACACGAGCAAGGCAGAGGCTCTGAATTTGAGACACAACTAGAACGAGAGGAAGATAAGGAAGGAACAGGAGAGGAAGGGAGGAAAAAGGAAGAGGAGGAATACACAAACGCAACAGAGGTCCACATTTTTGCTTCAATTTCAACTTACATACTGAAGCACTGAAGGGGGATTCAATTCAGTGAGATTATAGAAGTGCTCTGACTTTTGAATCATGATAAAGTCGAGATCCTTAAAACCTAGAATTGATTTTTTTTTTTCTGGAGCAAAAGCCCGGGTTGTATCGGCGCGGAGGGCGAGTAGGTTTCTTAAGTTATGTCGAGGCAGGGACTACGGGCTGAATAGCAACCAGTTCTGCCAAATCTAGAACTACTGGCGGACCAGGAAGTAAAAAAAAGTGACTCCATGACCCTTTTAGGGCACGCCAGGGAGTTCCTGAGGTTGTGACCTAGCCGGATGCGGAGATACCGTGCTGCAGAGAGCGGCGAGTCCGGAAGGCTCCATGTAAACACTCACCCCGGGCTTCATGCGGCGCGACCCGGCTTGGCCGCCCTTGGGGTCTGGCCCTTTGGCCCCCGGCGGTGGCGGCGCGGCGCTGAAAGCCCGGATCCCCAGGCAGCAGCGCGCCTCTCCCGGCCACGAACTCCCGGCCGGACCCCAAAGCCCATGGCCGTGAGAGAACAGACGCCAGAGCTGGCGACACTGCGGCCGCATCACCGTACAGCAAGCCTTCACCAACGCAGCCATGAGTTTAGGAGACCACGCCTCCTTTGGGCCGCCCCTCTATTTCTGCAGGAGCTTCCGCTTCCGCCGGAAGCCGGGTGAGGCCGCTCTTTCCTCTCGGCTCGGTGGTGATGCAGTTTACCCGCGGGTTGTCAAGGAGTCCGTGGTTGCACAGCTGCCAGCGGTAGGTGCTTCTCTGGCTGGAAACGGGTGGTGCGAGCTGTAGGCGGCGTACCCTGGGCGGGAGTGCTTCTGGGTCTTGAGCTGAGCCTGGCAGCGGCTGGAAAAACTAAACATCCTTAGACAGGACGATGGGACAAGGTGGCCCCGGTTCTCCTAGCCGGGTTCGCTCCTCCCAGCTGCTAGAGACTGGGGATCCCCTCCTCTTGCTCAGTCAAAATACGGGCCAAGTAGAACAGCAAAGTCTCGGACCCCACAATTAGAAGTCGTCTTGTGGCATTTGAAATAATCCATGACTTAGGAAAAAAAATACTAATAAGACTTTGGGTGTCTAGGGTGATGAGAAGACTTAAGACCAAAGTACCCGCGCTTGTAACTACCGTACAAGCCGCCTGAGAGCAAGGCACTGCAAAAGTGTGTGCTGCGTCATACTACATCCTTCATTTATCCCCTGGATCGTTTCGGTTTCGTCGTTTCTCATAAAGGTCTCGCCACTTCCCCCACCCCCAACACTCCCGATTTTAAACTTTGTTAAAGGTTTCCTCATCTGGGACTGCTTAGTTAGTTGGCTACAGCTACATACTTATTTTTGGTTTTTTGAGAAATTTTGACTCGTATTTGCTTTTTATTATTTGCTGTGCCTGTGTTGGGCAAGTGATCCCCAGCTTGTTACTGGCTCTTCTTTCTGTCTCCTCCGTGGTTGCTTGGGGTTTGTAAAGCAACAGCCCCTACCCTTTAATAAAGCTTTTTTTTCAACCTCAATGAGATCCCATCATTGCTTCGGTGGTTCTTGCATTAAAGCGTGATACTGTTTATATGTTTGGACCGTCTGATCTATTGTGCTGGCTCTCCAACACAGCAATTACTGTTGTAGTTTAATGGGATTTGTTTCTTCTCGAGTTGAGTTGTTCTGGAATCTTCTGAAATTTATGCTCAAAGCTAGCAGATTTTTTTTTTTTAGTTTAAAGAAATTATTGTTGAAGTTTATGGAGAGTTTTTCAAATTTTAAGAACAGCGATTAATAGAACAATGGTTAGAAGAGTACACATCCAAAAGCATGGATGTGGGCCTCTTAGAAGAGTCACACTTAATTGTCTTTACAACATATAAGTGTGTGTGTATGTGTGTACATATATGTGTGTGTGTGTGTGTGCACACACGTGTGTGTATATATTTGTGTGTGTGTGTGTGTGTGTGTGTGTGTATGATTTGGATGGCTTCTGAAGGTATATCTCAAAAGACTGTCTAACATATTTTCATTTTCCTAGGAAATGAGATTATAGACTGGCCCCGGGAGTGTACTAGATAGAATTACACAAAGGCCGTGGTACATGTTTAGTGCAAATAAAGTTTATAGTTTTGTTTGTAAAATTTCCAGAAACCGTAGCTTTGTTTCTGGGAAAGGAGCAGGACTGTACTCCAAGGTGATATGCGCTTAGGCCTTAAGCATAGCTCATTGCTGTCTTAACATTATTTGAAATCTCTGTATAAAGGGAATATTGTTCCTTTGTAGGCAACCTTCACAGCAAACACTACTAATAGTGGGAAAATCCCGACTCTCCGCTGACAAGGGACTCCAGCCCAGTTCCTTTCCATGTCTCCTACCTCACTTCCCCTCTGAGACTTTGATCCCTTAATTTTAAGAGTTAATGGTAGTTGTAGTTGGTGTTGGTTGTACAACTTATTTGTCGGGCAGGGATATATACCCTGCCTATCTGACCATCAGTTGTCTCAAGCTGTCTCATCTATATAGGATGAGAGAGAATCTGAGCATGCAAGATCCATCATTACTCGCCACATCTAACCACAGAAACAATAAAGATTGTTACACCTGATTCTAAGATTAGCACCGAAGTAACCAGGCCTTTAACCACGTGCTACCTGAAACCTGTAACACTAATGATTCATTAAAACCTTCCATAAAACCCTACAGTGATTTAATTGTAGTGTGTAAATCTTGGAAGATTGAGGATACATGTCCTGGTTGTTGGTATATATACCCAGCACTTTAATGGCGGTGCAGGTTCTCGTGCTACTGACAGACTACCAGGACTGTCCTCGTCTTCACTTTTGGGTTAAGAAATGGAAGAAGTATACACCTGATCATCTACTGAGAGTATGGTAAAATGCAAAGAACAATGCTAGAAAAGTTTTTGTAAATGTGTGTGTACATATGAATGCAGGTGCCCAAAGAGGCCAGAGGTGACAGATCCCCTAGAGCTGGAGCTCCAGGTGGTTGTAAGTCACCTGACATGGGTGCTGGGAACTGAACTCATATCCTCTGCAGGGACAGTCTTCACTCTTTAATTTTTGGGCCATCGCTTCTGTCTATGGATTCTTGATTTTTTTAAAAGACTTATTGTAGGTACACAGGTTCCCCATTTTTCCCGAGGCGCTATGCAGGGCTGTTCTGCTTCCTGGTTCCACTGCATCAGCTTGAGGGTGTAGCATAGAACTGCCCTCTCCTGTTATGTTTATTTCACCTATGGCCCAAGGGTGTAGCTTAGAGAGAACTCTCCCTTTACTGTTATGGTAATTCCACCTGCAAGCAAGGTTCTCCCCGCAGGCAAGGTTCCCGGGTCAGCTTTTCTCTGAGCGTGAGCACGCCCACCTGGTTTCCTCTTTTCTCTGTTCAGCTGCTCTCCGACCTTGGGTGCGGCCCCCTGACTTTTCTCTTTCCTTGTTCCTGATGGGGGGCTGGTGTCTTTCTGCCCCACAGTATATATACCCGACTTTTGCTTAATAAAGCTGCCATTTGCCACTTGCTCCTTGGCAGATGAGCCCGGTCTCTTTGTGTGTGTGTCATGTGTTCAAACCCTTAGGACAGTCGTCCGTTCTCGTGGGCTCGAGTCAGGAAAAGCGCGCGCCTGTTTCGAGGTTCGGGTGTCCACAGAAAAGTGCGGAAGCTTACAACTTATTTTATGTGGTTGTGCCTGTCTGTGTGGTGCCCTCAGATACCAGAAGAGGACATTGGATGCCTTGGAGACAGAGTTGCAGCAAGTTGTGAGTCACTCAGTATGGTTGCTGGGATCTGAACTGTTTCCCAGGAATGACCAGCAAACAAACTTAACTATTGAGCCATCTCTCCGGCCCCAAAGAAAGATTTTAATGGTTCAGATGATTACGTAGATAAAAAGGCAATAATGTAAAGTTATAGTTATTGATTATGTATTATACCAGCAGCACCCAAAAGAAAAACTGATGCAAATTGAGACACAAAGTAAGGTTTCAGTTAGTGATAGATCTTTAAAATGGGGCTTAGCTTTGTTTTTAAGAAGGTAAGCATTTTTCTCTCTTGTCTGAAAAGAGCTTTCATGTCTTCTCATGCTTTGCAGGCACAAGAGATCTTATTGTGGGTGCTCTTGAAGCAACACTGCCCCAGTGTTGCAGGAGCAGGAAGCAAAACTTCCTGCTGCCTCTAGCGGTCTCAAGCACTCTCTTTACAGTCCTGTGCTCCGGTGAGGCTAGGGTTCTCAGCTGCAGAAAGAAGTTTCAGGATGAATCAGTAGGATGCATATTTGGAGCTTATTACGGGATTTTATAGATTTAAGCCTGAGAGTTAATAGGAAAGAGGTGCTTAGGAGAAGGAGAGCCACAAGAGCATGGGTGTGGGCTTCTCAAGAGAGTAGCAGTTGTAAAATTTCTACTCATCATTTTGGCTCACTGTCAGTCAAAACTCATTTTCCCCATTTTATTTGCTTACCAAAATGTCTTTATCTATTGGATAAGACACTGTATTTTAATTGTAACCAGCTGTTGAATGAATAACAGGTAATACCTCTAAGCCGGACTCTATAGAGCCCTGGCAAAAGTAGCTGGTTGTATAGTGTAAATCTGGAACTTTTATTACTAACAGAAACCACCAAGGCATCAGATGGGTTTGCTTACAGTTTAGGAACTTCTCTAGAAAGAGACAGGGCATGCATAGTACCATTTGATGCCTGTTTTGTCATGAGTTTTTAAGTTGAGCTACTTAAAATTGTGTGTTGGATGGAACAATAGGCTGGCTTAAGTGGGATGAGCTAAACTGGAAGTTTTCTCAACTTCCTGGCCCTGTAGCATGTCTGCTTCATCATAGGTCCAGACTCTTGTGCCTAATCACTGTTAGAGTCCGAGAGAAGCCCCCAAAGAAGACCAACAACCACGTATGCAATAACAAGAGCGCTTTATTGATTCCAACGTTGGAGTGGGCAAAAGAATGACCCCCAAAGTGACCTACAAGCTCCTTTAAGTGGAGTTAGGGGAATTCGAAAGAGAAGGGATTAATCTGGGTTGATTGGTGGAAGGTCCTGGTGGTTAGGGACTTTCCAGCAGCAGGGTGGGGAAAGCTATTGTTAGCCTGCAGAAGTCTGGGAGCATCTACTGAGTCAGCAGAAAGGCTTGTGGGGTGCTTGCTGATGGTCACCTATAAGTTATGGTTTTCATGAGACCTGCTTGCTCAGCCCTGTCTGTCCCATTCTAGTGACCTGAAACTAAGGTCTGGTCTCTGTCAGGACTGTGGTCGGCTGCCTCTTCCCCCCCCACCCCCCCGCAGCCTTTTCAATCACAAGCATGCTCTGCCTCACACTTCATCTTATTGACACTAAGACTGTGAAATACTTTTCTCTCTGTGTGTGGATGTTTTGTGGAGATGGGGATTATGAAAAAGTTCTGGTCAATTGGTTGCTTATTCTCCATTTCTCCACTGGAGATAGATTTGAGTTTCTCGTCTCTGTCCACAAGGACCACTCTCTCAAGCCCTCTTGCATCTATTTCCCTGAACCATAAAGCACAGCCCAGAACTAGCTGAGTAATTTCTCACCATGCTTGGTTCTCTTTGCTCACCTTTACTCACTGTGATCCTAACCGTCTGTCCGTGAATGTAGCCTGGCCCTTCCACCTGGACTCTTAGCTTTCCCTTAACAGGTCACAGGTGGAGCAGAGACACTCATGGGGATAAGACAGGTTCCCAGGCCTTCACGTATTACTAGCTACCCAGGGAAAGTAGTCCGGATCTTGTTAGTAGTGTGTGACCATGCTCCCCCATCTCCCTTATCCCTTTCTTCCCATTCTGCCATAAGTTAAATAACAACAGCGGGTGCGGGGTCATACAGTGGCATCTCTAGAGATGAACTGGTCATTGATCAGTGTCCTATACAAGAAAAGGATCTCGGAAGGCACAGAGGTGGCAAATACCATCATTGTTATCACTGGAATGTGAGGTTTCTGTTGGTTTTAGAGCTACTGATAAAACCAGGAGATGAAAATTGGCTTACCAGGAGTGAGAGGGTGGACAGTTAGATGTCGACACTCTTAAGAGATACAACTAGTGTTACCAAGATAATGTGTAATTATCCTCTGGGCTGGGCAGTCTTTTTCTTTGAAAGTCAGAGCTAACCCAAGACTTGTGGGAAATTGGCACCTGTATTTCCTTCTCAGAGGCTCTGTTTTTCTGCCCGTCAGCTCATGTGAATTGAGAACAGAGGCTGCTGATAGAAACGCCCTTAGAACTCAGAGTGGCAGGTGAGAGGGGGTGGGTCTGTAGAAGACAAGCAGAAGTAATCGCTTGCTCTGCTTACATTACACATCAAGGCAGTTCCAAAGGGAAGACGAGCTCACTCTGTTAAATAGTTCCTGAAAAGAATGCTAAGTTTCAGGTCCAGTACATCATGAGTAGAAGGAACTGCCAGACCCAGCACCTCTCACACAGCCCAATAAAATTTGCTTCTCCTGTCCATAGGCTTGGTCCTTATCCTTTTTCCTTTCAGGTAAATCTTTTGCCTGCCCCCCCACCCAACACACACACATAACTTCTCTTGTTATTGAGGTTGAGGATCCCTTGTGTCCAGGATCACCAGTCTGATTTTTTGTGTTTTCTGTTTATTCAAGATGATTTAGTTAATAACACTGTGTATTGCCTCCCTTTCGCTGATCTTAATTTTTGTAATGAACTCAGGTATATTTTGTTCAAGGTTGGCTTTAAAATCATCATCTTCCTGCCTTGGCTTCCAGAATCCAGGGTTTACAGGCATGCATCATGGGAGCTGGCCCTTGCCTTACTTATGAAGGTCGAGGACAACTTGGGACCTGAGGTTCACTTTTTTTACCATGTGGGTCTTAGGAATTGAGCTCAGCTCATTAGCCTTGGCAGTTAGCAGTACCTTTCCCCAGTGAGCCGTCCAGGCCAGCAGTCTCAGAGTAGGAGAGCCGTGTTGCTCCCGGCTGAGTCTGGCCCCTGTGCTGAGAATGGAGCAGGAGCCTCTGGGAGGAGTACACTTAAGTGGGATTAAATAGAAACTCTGGAACTAGGTGGAATGGGCGGCTGGCGACCAGGAGTCAGAAGGGTTTTAGACAGTCAGAGAGTTTTTAGAAGGTCTTAATCAGTTCAGACAGAACTGTGGTGGTTTATCTTTCATAGTAAGAACAGTTGATAATTTAGCACCTTGACCTTCTATGTTTGTCATAATCCTTAGAATTCTTGGCTCTTTTAGAGTTACATATTCTGCTTATAAATAACCTAGTGAGATTCTTTCCCCAAGTTTAAATGGAGACTATGTGTGGAATGAAAAGATTTGTTTTCTGTTCTGGTTCAGGGATGGGGGTTGATGCTAAGATTAGGAAAACTGGTTCAAATTAGAACTCAGCTGTTGAAGTGGGGCCTACTGCTCGGAAAGGACTTGTGCTTACACTGATTTTGTAGTGTTTGTATTTTCATTTATGTATTTCTATATATTTACACCCACATATATTTGAGAGGCCAGAAGAGGATACCGGCTCCCTTGTAGCTAGAGTTACAGGTTGTGTGAGCTTTCTGACGTGAGTGCTGGAAATTCTGGTACCTGCAGGAACTCTCTAAACCACTGGGTATCTATCTCTCCAGCCCCTGCTCTGGCTTTTTAAATTCAAAAGTATTCTTCTGGTATTAGTTACTTTTCTGTTGTGACTTTTTAAAAAGTGGTCAAATAATAACCTAGGGAAGGGTTTTTTTTGGCTTATAGTTCAGAGGGATAAGAATCTTGTTTATCCAGGCAAGGTAGCACACGCCTTTAGTGCTAGTACCCTGAAGGTAGAGGCAGATGAATCTGTATGAGTTTTAGGCCAGCCTGATCTACACAACGAGTCCCAGAATAGCCAGGGCTACATAGAGACCCTATCTCCAACACCTCCTTCCTCCACCCTGTGAGTATGCTGTAGCTGGCAGCAGGCGTGGTGGCACAGCAGAAAACTGAAAGATCACATGTTCAAAGGCAGCGTGAACCAGAGAGTTAACTTTAAACTCTTGAAAGCCCAACCTTGGTGGCTTACTTATTTTATGCCAACAAGGCTGCACCTCCCCATAACGCCTCCAACTGGGGGCAGTACACCAAATTCCCGAGCCTCTGGGGACGTCCGTCCTAAACCACCTCCTTCTCTTTTCATGTCACTGTCTCTCCTTACTACTCCAGACACAGAAAAGGGAGAGACTGGTTCTCAGGCTCAACAACAAAGAGAAAAGACTCGGCCTGCTCGAGTGTCCAGAGTGGAGGTCTGCTCTGGGAATGGAGTGGTTAAGTGTGTGTGTTGTGGGACAGTGTGACGGCTGGGTTCCCACTGGGTTCTGGGGGATTGTTTGACGTGGGAGAGGGTATTTTAAATTCTAAATTTAAATGGGTGGGAGGTGAGAAATGATTCCAGATTTGAATTTGGCTGTTGTAGTTGGAATTCCTGATGGTCAATGTGATAGTGCCCTTTTGTAAGTTGTTCGTCTTCTGAGCAACAGAGGTTCTCGTCTTTTTTACAAATGAGAACTGAAGCATTTTAGAGCTAAGACTTTGGCCTCTAGAGCCTGCACACTTGTCTGTCTTGCTGTCTAGTCAGTTAACCTGTTTTGTCGTTTTCTTCTGTCCATTGGAAAGCTGCAGTGTTTTAACTTGAATATCTTCTCCCTCTTCGTAGCTTATTTAGAAGCCTGCTTGGAGGTAATGGCTGAGAAGCTGGACCCCGATGCCCTGGCCGATGGTTCAGAGCCACTTTTTTCCTTTGGAGTTATAGCAGATATTCAGTATGCTGATTTAGAAGATGGATTCAATTATCAAAGAAGCAGGCGGAGGTACTACCGACACAGCCTTGTTCACTTACAGGGTGCCATTGAAGACTGGAATAAAGAGAGCAGCGTGCCCTGCTGTGTCCTGCAGCTCGGAGACATCATCGATGGCTACAACGCACAGTATAAAGTATCAGAAAAGTCTCTAGAAGTTGTCATGAACACATTCAAGTTACTTAAAGCCCCAGTTCACCACACATGGGGAAACCATGAATTCTATAACTTCAGTAGAGACTTCTTAACGAACTCTAAACTTAACAGCAAGTTTCTAGAAGACCGAATTGTGCAGCATCCTGAGACCATGCCATCAGAGAACTATTATGCGTATCACTTTGTACCATTCCCTACATTCCGGTTCATTTTACTTGATGCCTATGACCTGAGTGTCTTGGGCATAGATCAGTCTTCTCCAAAATATGAGCAGTGTATGAAGATGCTGAGGGAACACAACCCAAATGTGGAATTAAATAGTCCCCAAGGTGAATTATTGCTTTGAACTGAGAATCTAATACATTGTCTTTAAATTCTTCAGCTACCTTTTATTCAGCAGGAAGATGGATGATTAAGGTAAAAGTTTATTGTCACCATTGTTCAGGGTCAGGATTCTTACAAGCTTGATGTCACATAAGTTGGTTATAAGTAACTCAAACCTCAGACATTGAGCAGATATTTGAGTGCCCATTCTGGAATAAGATAGATAGACAGACAGACAGACAGACAGACAGACAGATAGATGGAGAGAACCATAGCAGTAGGTAGGTAAGACAGAAAATAAATGTATTTCCATACCTAAAATAATCAACTTACGGGGAGGAAAGGTCTGTCTTGGCTTATAATTTTGGGGCCGGAGGGTTAGTCCATAGTCCCTTGACTTGGTTGCATTTGGGTTGTGCTGAAGCAGCATGTTAGGACAGGGAATACAAACTAGAGCAAGCTGCTTACTCATAGCCAGGAAGCAGAGTGGGGAAAGAGGGCCTGAGCTCGTAGTCTCCCTTGTGACTGACTTCCCTCACTAGTTCCTGCCTCTAAAAGATGCTCCCACCTCCTAATAGCACCACAGTTGGTGACCAAGTCTTCAACACAGGAGCCGTTTTGGACATTTCAGATCCAAACTATAGTGGTAAATGAAACAAAAGCAAGGTTGTCTCCCCAGTGGTAACTATGCTGAGAAAACAGAGTCTGTTACAGCAGAGAGACAGGTGAGCAGAGGGCTGGGTGCTGTTTTAGACAGGTGAGCAGAGAGCTGGGTGCTGTTTTAGACAGGTGAGCAGAGAGCTGGGTGCTGTTTTAGACAGGTGAGCAGAGGGCTGGGTGCTGTTTT